AGTGGTCAACCAGTGCATGCACTGTGCTGTTACCCCCTAGCCTGCTGCTAAGAGATGCATCTCTTAATAAACATGAAAATGGGCTCTGTTCCTATTGTTTGTCATGATTGTGCTGCAGTCAAAAAGCAGCCCATTTGAAACACCTCTTATAAATTCAGCATTAAAGGGCAGGATTAAACTGCTGTAGGCTGAATAGGCAGATATAAAGGTGCTGACATTATGTGACATTACAAAAACTGTATGGACTGGGGATTGAGTGCCATAATTTTGAAACCTTCAATGTTTACATGTTACATTAGACTTTGATTTAAAAATTATTAAGGCGTGGGCCATTCAACGACTCAACGTGGTTTGAGGCAAGCGAGTAGTGATTTAGGTTTGCAGCTTGCATGATGTTAAAGTGAACAGCAAGTGCACATTTTTGCTTTATATTAGGCTGGTAATAATTACAGTGCTATGGTGTTGGGAGTGTGTTTGAAATGCAATTAAAATACTAGCAAAGCACATTCGCTAAACAGGACATTTCTGTTTAGATACATTTTTCTTATCTATCTCAATCTAATTTTCTGTATCTGTGATCTGCCTGCGGTTTTTTTTTGCTTGTCTTTCTGGGTTTTTGGCTCGTTTTTCCATTTTCTTCTCCCCTGTTCCTTCATTTCTCCATCATTGCATGCGTGTGTGTGTTTCTTGCTGACGGTGCAGACTGTATTCAGCCTAACAGAGCCGGGCCCATGGCGAGAGATGATTGATGTGCAGGTTGAGAGAGAGCTGGAGCGAGGGATGGTGTGGAGAGACGGAGGCATGGAGGGAAACAAGGAAGCTGGCAGAGTGCTTAGAGAGAGAGAGAGAGACAGAAAAGGATGGAAAGGGAGAGAGTGATAGAGAAAGTAGAAAAAAGAGGCAATGATAGAGGCAAAGAGAGATAGTACAAAGAGAAAGGAAGGAGAGAGAGTGTTATGAGGGTTAGTCATCAGAACACAGTCAGAATACATTAGTCAAGCACTCTTTCTCTCCATGTCATTTTTTCTGCTCTCGTTTGTCTCTCACTCTTTTTATGTGTAACGTTATTCTTGAGTCTGTTCTCGGATCAGTGGTGGTTAAAGTAAAGTGTGTGTGTCTGGGTGTGTGTGTGTATGTGTATTTATTCTTTCTCTCAGTCCCCTTCCACGGCCATTTCTACAACAATATTGTTTTGCAGATATCCTTGTGTGTCAGTGGATGTAAGCCACTTTATTTCCTTGGGTTCTGTTTTTGTTGTAACATCATTTTGAGAATTGCTTGCTTCTACACGAGGCACAGAAAGAACGGTCTGTGATTGGTCAGTTTCTATGCCAGTCAAATGTCCCCTTCCTGTCAAAGTAGGCGGTTCTTGGTCACATTGAGCATTGAAACCTACCAGACTGTCTGACAACAGGTGGAAGTCTGGATTGTGAGTAGGGATGCACGATGTCCTCAGAATTATATTGGTATCAACAAATCATTGTTAAAAAAATTGTTGGGACAATTGTTAGTTTTGGCCAATATTTCAAAACTGATATTTGATGATGCATTTATTAAGGCCACCTTAAAGTAATATTATGTAACAATTTTACCTGAAAATAACAGTTTCAAAATCACACTGATAGTACACTGACTTATAATAGGGAGAATGGCATCTCTGTCCTTGCCTATAACACTATGTAACTTTGGAGGAGTGGGCATGAGACCTCTCATGAGAACTACGTAACGCTTTCTGTATTGTGCCTCATTCAAAAAACAGTCTGGGCTGGAACACTCCTAATGCAAATGTGTAGAGTTAAACAACTATAGGCTGCATTTAGGTGTATTTATGTTAATGCTTTGGTTTTTTGTGACATTACATAACTGTGATTTGAAAATCAGCTGTTTTGCAGGTTAATGTCCACATATGGACTGTGTGGAAAAAAGTTAGCAAAATTGCATGAAGATTTTCCATCATAAGGGCAATGTGAAAAAAGTGTTTTTTGAATTTTTGGACGCTATGGGATGCAGCACAGTGCATCTACTGTTTGGTGGCCTTTATGCTGCAGAAGAACAAAACATTTAGGTGACACTTGGTTGCTATGCTAAGATGACTTCATTATGCTGCATTTGTAACCCTCTACCAGTTAATGTTTAATTTCTCTGTAAGGATAAACCAGGTGGATTTGTAGGCATAGGCATCGACAGATATGCACATTAAAAATATCAAAAATCATCATCAGCCCTGAATTGGTACGTCCTACTTGTGAAACTACACAGTAAAACTATGGATGTTATTTTAACTTTAAAATAAGTAACCTGTTTGCTTTAAGTTTTGAGTTTCTTGAGCCATTATTATAACAGTGATCTGTCTTTTATTTTACATATTTTACTTACTTTTTGAAGTTTAAGAAACAACATTTAGCTGCTGCACTGTAAAAAAAAATGTAGTTTTAACTTAAAAATGTAAGTAACCTGGCTGGCATACAATTTTGACTTTTAATTGTTTAAAGTTTAGTAAAGTCAAAATTTTAAGTCATGTTACTTACTCTTACTCTCTTGATTAACAGTATGTCATACAGGAGGACATGGAAACACGATAAAGACACCAGTACCAGTAGTGTGTGTGTGTGTGTATTTGTGTGTGTGTCATTGCTGTTTAGAATGTGGAGATGTGGGTGGTTAATAATTGAAGGCTTCTGGCAGATCACAGCAGTGTCCGTATATTCACACACACACAATTTTAAACACACCTTTTCACAGCAGTGGAAAGGGGGGGCTTTTCAAAGCACCTCACACACGCATACACTCATGGCGGTCACATCACACTGCGGCCATATCACACACTGGCAGCTAAGGCAGAGCGACCGGACATTGATTCATCCTCCCTGAGAGAAACGCACACCCTTTCTTTCATCTCTCCATTTTGCCAAGCACTTCTGGGAAAAAAAAGAGCAGAGTTTCTGGTCACACATGGCGTCTTTGTGTAGTGGTTCCACGTCCTTTTGTATTACACACTTAAAAAAAATTGTGTAATATTTTGCTTATGCAAGAAACACATTCATTTATATATAATGTCAGGAGAAAGGCACATAATTATGTCCCATATTTATCATATGCACAGTACTGAGCAAAAGTCAGAGACCACCTTTTATTTATTTAATTTCCATTCAAAAAGATCATTAAGTACAAGTTATGTATTTTTCAGCATCAAGCAGCAAATACATTCAAATACAAATTACACAGAAGCCTCAATAACTGCATTTAATATCATATTTTGTCAGTATACTCTGCCTTTATTCTGTTCTTTTCAGGACACTTTCATTATATTATTTTCACTCCTCCAAAGTTCAGTCTTAGACGTTGGTGGCATCTAATACTTCTCATGATCCAAGTAATCCCAAACGTATTTAACATAAACGTAAATTTTGGTGTTCATGAGTCTGAGGTCGCCAGTCTGTTGTTCTGAGAACATCAGCAGCTTCTTTGTTTGATTTGCCTATTTACTTTTCTCTGTATCCGTTTCTTGACAGCCATGTTTTGCTTGTAAATACATATATATATATATAAATACACACATAAAATACATTGCTGTTGTCGGAAGAAAACCTTGTATCTCCAAAATGCTAACTTTACCTTTAATGTAAGTCAGTGGAACCAGACCAAGTAATTTTGGGTAATTTCTTTTGGTCCATTCTTCATGAAATTTACACATTACACACGTGCATTTTCAAATTATGTCAAAAACTGAAAAATGACAAAATTGAAGATACGAGGTTTTCTTCTGAGCAGCGCATGTATATATATATATATATATATATATATTCATCTTTGATTGTTGTCCTGCGCTTGTCTGTCCCATTTGTTCTTTTTAAAGTTACAGTTATAAAGTTACAGCATATTATCTATTTTACACTTTTCCCCCTGAGCCTAAATGTATCTAATAGGTGATGGAAGCTTATACCCCATCACTTAGCATTGTGCAAACTGCATGTCTCACTCATTAATATTCTCCTCAAACTCAAACTGTTGAGTTGTTCACTAATCTCAAATAAACTTGCTCATGTGGTTTCCAACACTGTATGACATGCTGTTATCTATAAACTATGGACAAAAGTGTGATGCATTGGTGAAACCAGTAGTAGTTTTTAGATGTGATGCTAGATGCCTGAACTTTGTCCAACTTGATACTTGATTTGAGATGATTGTGTCCTTTGTAGCCCTTAGTGGCCCTGTGTGGGAAAGAGTGGACACTCTGGCTCCATTGCAAAACTAAAGAAGCAAATTTTAGACACTAGACATGTCTTGGCTGATGGACTACATTTGCGGTAAGGGGGAAACTTGCAAAGTTTGTAACCTCTGTGCAGCTGCTGTGTTTGTTGCTGTGTGTGTGTGTGTGTGTGCAAAAAGTGTCCTAGCAGAGCATCTCATGCTGTTGATATGCATAGTGTACTCACCCTCAAGTCTTTGTGTACAGTGAGCCAAAGATACATGTCAGTTTGAATCACAGAGAGATCTGGGCCTGTGCTGGGTCTGGCCGTACATACACACACACACACACACACACACACACACACACTCATCGCATCACTGCCGATTAGACCCGTGCTAACCACTCAGGGAGCATGTGGTTAATGATGAGCCGTTTAAAGCGAGCAGAAACTCTCTGACTCATGTTGTTTCTCTCTTACATACACACACACACACAGACAGTACCCTACAGCACAAATGCACACATTACTTCAGCATGGATACATGCTTACCATGCCACAGGCTCTACCAGGCGTGTGTGTGTGTGTGTGTGTATCAAACTGAGGCCTGCTCTACTTCTGGTAATCCCTGATTCATGGCAGTGGCTCAGTGGGTTAGGATTTGATAACAGGAAGTGTACATGGAAGTGTTAGTAGTTAGTAGAGCAAGAGCAGTCTTGAAAGAACACATTGGTAGTGGTTTGGGTCGGGGGGGGGTGGGTATGTGTGATGTGTTGCTTTATGGCTTCTTCCTTAACCTTTGACCCTCACTCCGTTTGAGTACATGATCCTGGCCACCATCATTGCTAACTGCATTGTCCTTGCGCTGGAGCAGCACCTGCCCGACGGGGACAAGACGCCCATGTCTGAGCGCCTGGTAAGTCCTGTGTGTGTGTGTGTGTGTGTGTGTGCTGAGAGTGCTATTTTTCCATTGTTAGCTGCTAACTCTGTCATATCTCTCTGTCAGCGTTTCATTCATCTATTGTGTTCCATAAGACAAAGATCGGGCTTATTATTGGATGTTGTAAATGGCAAATCTTGTAGAAATTTAAATCAGATGAAGCCTGATTTACACCTTTTACTTTCTACTGCTAAGTTTCTCTCTTGGAGAGGTGCTGTTTAACCCTAAGAAATCCAGAGTTGAGTTACTATTGTTTTGCTATATTTTTTATTTGATTTACAATTTGATTTACATTTACTCAGTTCATGCATTTAAGTTGTAGAATCTGCGCTTCTGCATTTCTCCCCTTGTTTTATAGAGCTATGAGTGAAGAATAATTCATATAAAATTATAATTTGCTTTTTTTATTAGTAGTGTAAACTTCTAAGGGTTAACAACGTAAACTCTAAAGCTGTCACACACCGAACATGATGCGAATAAATGACACAGACTTGCGGAGTTGTTCAAAATGTTTACACATTGCAAAAAAAGAAAGAAATGGTCAAGTAACAAAGATATACTCACGATGAAAACAACCTTTTAATGTTTGTCAGAAAGTACCTCACAACCAATCAGATTTCTTGGTTGTAGCCGGCAATCAGATATTTTGGTTGGCAGAAGCAATACTGGTTAAGTAAGTTTGTCTGTGAAAATCAGAATCGAACAGAAACAAAAATCAAACAGAAACAGGGTGAACAAAACAATGTTACATTTTATACTGTCTGAAAAATCACATTTGGTGTGAAAGATACCAGTTATGCATATGTTCCAGTAAATTAAGAGACATCTGAATAAATGACACAAATTAATTGCATTTAGTGTGTGAAGACCTTCAAACGTCTTAATGTAGGTCCATTGTTCAGTTCCTCATTGTCATAACTGCAGGACTTACGCATTATTTTGTAGTAGTCACTGAAAAGTTTATAGTAGTTACTCACAAAATCTTAAAACCAACAATTAAATAATGAGTTCATTTTAATCATGATCACAATCTCTCTCTCTTTTAGGATGACACAGAACCCTATTTTATTGGCATTTTTTGCTTCGAGTCTGGCATTAAGATACTGGCTCTGGGCTTTGCTTTCCATAAGGGCTCCTACCTCCGCAACGGCTGGAACGTGATGGACTTTGTAGTGGTGCTTACTGGGTGAGTCTCTCTTGCTCTCCTTGATGTTGTAATTTTTGCTTAATTCACACTGTTCCTTGCTGTTACTTGTTGATGGTTTTCTTCATGTGAATTATCTGTTAATATGCTTAATGAAAAAGTCACTCATCATTTAAATGAAGTTACACATTTTTTTTTTACATTTTGTGGTTCTCATTGCCTGCTTTAGTCCTCTGCTCCTCCGACAATCCAATAGTCCCTTAAGCAGGACTATTTTGAGCTAAGCGAATAATTACCATTAACAAAATTTTATAAATTTGACTGTAAAATGAGTATCTTGCCTTTTTCATTTTCTGTAATGTATGTAACATAGTGCCATGAACTGCATGTACAAGCTCAATACAACAGATGCAGAAGTGGTGATCTAATCTCAAGGAAGACAAAAATTTGTTATGAATAGATCATTCTGTTATATATTAATTATTAACTTCCTGTTCCCAGGATACTTGAAATATTGAGTAAAGGTTGTAAAATATTTTTGTTGGTTAGTTTGTAATATAAAATTTTTAATTAAATAAAACGAAAGCACCTTTAGTATAATATTATAAGTTATTATTGTACTTAAAATAATAAAACATACGAATATGATGAGTGATTGTAAACTTTTGATCAGTGCAGTATGTATGCAGTTTGCGTGTTCAGTATTATATACTGTTTTCTGCTTATTTTTAAGACGTATTTTTGAGAATGGCATTGTGTTTGTATTCACAGTGTGTGGGTGTGTGTGTGTGTGTGCGTGCATGTGTGTTCCCTTGCCCTAATGAGCTCATGGTGAGGCAGGATCAGAGCAGACAAGAAGCCCATAGCACAAATGTCACCATCACGCGCACACACACACACATGGATAAGAGGATGCATGGGGTGGCATATAAAGTTCTGGTGGAGATGTCAGCTGGAGAGATGTCGTGGAGGATGTTTGAAAGGAAACAGCAGATGGATCAAGATGAAGTGAGAAAACGAAAGGGTCACTGTTCCCACCAAAACCCCACACGTTTGTACAATCGCTCACCTGAGCTCTGTACAGACCTTAAAGTGTTGGTTTGGCGATAATTTGAATTTACACATGGTTTGGTTAGTGTTATAGTTATTTATAGCAGCATGTAGGTGTAGGCTATAACATTAACTTACCTAGCTAGCAATGCTAAAACAGTTGAACCCAGGAAACTTTCTGCTTACCTTTTCAATCCGATGTTTAGCCTAAATTTCCTGGTTACATAGTAAAAAAATAAATACCCAATAACACCCAGTATATTCGAACAGTATGCCCCTACACATATACAAAGTAAATATCATTATAAAATAATTAAAGTAAATAAAAAGTTTTTTTTTAACTTTTTTCTTATTTTAATACATTTTATAACTCCATCCAGAACCCTACATATTTTTACTGTTCAAGAACTCCACACTCACCAGGGTTTTTCCTGGCACAAAATGAGGCAGAGGTGGTGCCATTCTGATCATGTGCACACGTGCGCACGTGTACCGTACCTTCAGCTGACTCAAGCAAACACTTTTATGCTCTAATCTTTGGTCTAGTAGTTATGTAGATCCTCATGCTAGTCAGCTCTGCAAACGTATTTAGTGAGTCTGTAGGCTACAGATCAGGTTAAAACAAACCCTGACACAATGGTGGATCACCCACAGGCGTCATGGTGTCAAATTCATAAGCCCTGTATGTTGGAGCAATTTACTGATTCATAAACAGCAAAATTCTACAGCCTGTGTATGTGCACGTGTGCTTATCAATACAAACACAACTGGGTCTAATAGCTTTTCAAACCTTTTATTTTATTATATTATACCTACTGTGCGTGAAAGCTGTGTTTATCACCATCGCTTCCTTTCACTGTGTCTATCTATGTTTCCCCTGTTTTCTCATGCTCATCACTCCATCCCCACCCTCTTTCTCTTTCCCTCTGGTAACTAGAGTAATTACTGAACAGTGTGTCCTCCAGCTACCGCAACAGAATAGGAACTGAGTGCGCTCTCTTTCTATCTCTTGCACACGCACACGCATAGAAATCATATCCTTTTTGCATGAACATCCCCAAATCCTTTTATGCTGTGGACTTTAGAGAGAGGTAGAGCTTATTTTGCCACTTTGTGTATTACCACTCAGACCAGTGGAGCAACATCAAAACTCAGCTTAGTGTTCACAACACTAACAATCAGTGAGCCGAAACCAAACGCCGAAACTGGTCCAAACTAGAGATGGACTTTGTGAGTAATTTTGTGATTGAGTACTCACGTTAAAAAACAAGTAAGTAGTTACTAGAAAATTTAAAGCGAACATCTGACAGTCTGTGAAATTTGTATTAGTCGGTTATATCAGTTTTGTAACAGAAACCAACCTGTGCTTTCTTTTCTTTATTTTATGGCAATTTAGGCTGTTTCTTTAAAAAGTAAATAATAGCCTACATTTGTGCATATTACATTTTGTTTAGCAAGTTAGAGCAAGCAAGTCACCAGTAGCAAGAGGCTGTTCTGCACCCTGTGACAATAAGAAGCCTTTCACTTGCTGAATTGAAAAATGTTAGTGAAGTTCACAGCATCCCATCTTTATAAATCATTCAAGAATTTTACTTTAAGCTGTCTTTTTCGTTGTAAACTCCTTTTTTTTCTCATATGTCTGTTTTTGTTGTTGCACTGCTCTAACAATCACTTGCTTCTATATGTCATGCTTAAACAGTGGTCTGTGATTGGTCGATTTGCATAGCAGTCAAATATACTGCTGATAGCAATGACAGCAGTGTTACTCTGCTGCTGCAATCCATCAGTCTGAGGATGACCAGAGAGTACACAGATTTGTTTTTTTTTCTGCATTTTGCTGTCTCTAGTTCCACCTAAAAATGTGTTCTTTTGTAGGTAGTGTTGCTAGCAAACTTTACATAATGCTTGTAAAAATCCCATTTAACCTAATGAGAAACTGTAGAATGCAACTCAAATTTTGTTATTAATTTCAAACAATATTTATTTTGGATGTGTTTATCCGTTCGTATTAATAGGATAGATCATTTTTTGTTGTGTAATCAGGCTAATGTTAACATGGTGACATATTTATCAGCATTTCCAACTTGCTTAGATTCAATTAGCTATAACAACACAGATCAGCTCGGCATCATAGCATTGTAAACTGGAAGCTCAACGTTAAGTAGTGTCTCTGGGATTTTTACCAGCTTGTCCAACCTCTTTTTATTTATTTATTTTTTTGGAACATTTTAAAGGCTTATCATGTGGAGCTGAAACATTCCCAAGTCTAGGAGAGCCATATTGAAAGGAAAAACAATTATTACAATGAAATGACTATTTCACATACTACACTACAGTAAATTCTGTTAAACTGAAATAATTATCCTTTCATTGCGATGAAACATGCTGTTGGTCAGTGTTCACTAAGTACTGGCGATATCCATGATAACCTTGGAAAAGTATGTGACGTAATCTGTGACTAAAGAGGCAAATTTTGGAAAATTCTTGCAAAATTCATCAAAATATCATGTAAAATACTAAATATGCACATTTACAATTGATTAATCTGTATTAATGCACCAAGATCCAAAAAACTGTCCTTATATGATCCTCAGAATTTAGTACTGATAGATGGGACCATGCATCAGCATGTATATAAAGTAAACTTCCCAAAACTGTGTTAAATGTACTCCATGTAAAAACATGTTTTTGTTTGAATCAAGGGGCTGACTACTATAATATGTTCATGAAAATATGACCAATAGCTAAAAATTTCACAAATTGTCCAGGTTAACACTAGTCCAGGTTAAAACAAACATAAATGCCAGTGGAATGAGCTTTAAGTGAATGTCCATTTCTATAATTGTGCACACAGATGTCTGATTTCACACACACAGTTATACATTACACTTTCTCTCTGAGAATGTTTCTGAAATGGTTGCCTGTCTTACTGCTTTTGGATGTTTGCTTTGTAGTTGTGCTATCATTCTTTCAAAAACACCACTATTTTTAGCTGTGCTGTTTGTTTTTTAGTGGGCTTATCTACTGGAACCAATTGCCTATTGCACCCTCATGCTTACAGTTCAGAAACGTTTTTCAGCGTGAATGATAAACCCACCCAGTCAAATAGAAACTGTGGTTTGAAATGGTTGGAATTATTTTTTAATCGATAAAATTGAGTGAGCAGTTTTATTAATTTTGTTTAATTTATTTGTTGGTTAATCATCTACTTCTCTAGGACTAATTAGTCTCCAAACTGTTTAGTAGGGTTAGTATCTCTGCCAATACCGATCCTGTACATCAAATTCAGGGAGTCTCTACTATCATGTGTTTAGAATCCATGTCCATATGTGTCTGTGTGTGAGATTGTGAAAATGTCTGCAGACTTGTGCAGTGATGCATCTGTATAGATGAATTATGCATATGTCTGTGCGTGTATGTAGGTATAGATACTTAACACATGGACTCTTGCGCTGCTGTGAGCGTGTGTGAGTTAACGTGTGTGTAAGTAGGTCAGGCGGTGTGTGTGTGAGCGTTGCAGGAGAGAGCAGAGCAGCCTCTGCAGGAGTGCCTCTGCTTCTGCTGCAGCCATTTTCTCCTCACTGCCTGTCTCAGTGTTAATGTGTCATTGTGCCATCGAGTTCAGCACTGGTTTCTGATTGTAGCAGCCAGAGTGTATAACTGAGCTTAAAGAAATAGTTAAAGAACGATTACATTTAATTACATTTTTCTCTTACCTTTTCCCTTCCTTGATGTATGCATTCTGTAGACACCACAAACCATGTCTGTAAAAATGGACAGAAAGTGTGGACAAAGTTCAAGCTTCAAGATGGCTGCTGCAACTGTTTTTTGCTGTGTGATGTACTATTGTACATTTACATATGTAACAGTATTTTATACAGTGTCAGAAAGCAAGCAAATCTGTTTGAGATCACTAAACAACTCGACACTGATGCAAATTTGTGATGGTTTAAGCATGTAAGTTTGCACGACGCCAATTAGTGTACGTAAGC